GGTGGTAGTGTCACACCGTTCTTAGGGACTGATTGTGCGAGTAGGCGTGTTGTCGTCGACATGTTTGTGACGAATCGAGCCATACCAGCTATAAGCACCTGATTAGAGCGAGGAATATGGGTCTTTTAGGGATTCTCGTGGTGGTAGAGAAGAAATGGAACTAAAGTTTGAGAGCAGAAGGAAGGGATGATGAAAAGGATTCAGCTAAACTCATGTGATAGCATAAGGGAACCGGAAAAGAGAAATCGAAGCAGAGGAGATGCTCGCAATGAATGACAAAGTATATGCTACGCCTTTGTAACCTACATACCGTGAGCCTGAGTGGAAACAGAGCAAGCACTACGCGCAGTCGCGATATCGGGATGCTTAGTAATCACTTTGCCCAGGTCACATGACGACGTGTCGGTACAAGTACGTCGCCAAAAGCAGAGGATCTCCAACGCTTCCGCGAACCCTGAACTTGCAATGCGTCATCGGGGGCCAGGGTTTGATACCTAATGTTGCGCCTGCCAGGACTTGCGCAAGTAATGCCTATCACACGCAGCAAAAGCGGGCGCAAAAAGCAGAGAACAGGCAACAGCACTGCAGCTTCGATCTGTAAACTGCGGCTTCTGACTTTTCATCGCAACAACTGAATCCATCATTCCGTTTGCCTCCAGTTCGGAAGACTCCGCTACGATCCGTCGCTTCTCTAATGCCACTCGTTGATTCCGCCTGAGGTCCAGTTGTACTACTTCCACCAGAAAGAGCTCACCTACCCTATTCATCCCGTCCATTGCAATATTTGACCACACTGTCCATCGTCCCTCGCTTCTTTGTCACCTGGAACCAGCCAAGATTTTCAGCCAACGCTGAGATCTTAGACTAGACAGTCGACAATCACAAGTGCTATCTATACCTGTTTGCCATTCCTCCCTCCATTTTGCTTGCTCTAGTCAATGGCATTGCATTCTTTCTTCCATCATGGACCCTGATACAACTCAATGTTCAAAGACAACCGAGGCCTTGCCCGAGTCGACGCCCAATGCCGAACACACAGAAGCAATGACACTCGACAACAAAAACTCGACCGCTGATACACCAAGTGCGCCAAATGCTGACGAGCTCGACGAAGAGGCTGCGCTCAAGAATCTTACTGAAAACGTTCGAGACCAAGACGATTTGGAACGTGATATCACCCTACAAGCCAGCCGTGCCTTGATCGAAGCCGAAGACAAGAGAGATCAGAAACGCATCGAAAAGGCCGAGGCCACTCGTACGAGACTCGAGAACCAGAAGAAAACACAGCAACAGAAACTGCGACCTGGCATCACCAATCCAACTGCACGATTACGCATACAACAGGAGATAGCGCGAATTGATGCCGAAATCGAACTTTGCGACAAAGACATTGCCGATTTCCGTGCCCGCATCGAACAGCGCAACCAGCAGGGCGAGACGGGTACACTGGCCCCGGCCACCGGCAAAATACTCCCTAACGAGACCCAACGAGAATATCTCATCCGAACGGGCAAGATCACGCCGTTTGCCAAATTTGGTGGACCCAGGCCTGCCGAGGTTGAAGGTGATCTCGCCAACGCCATTGTCGACGCAGAAGACGAGGCTGTCGCTGAAGAGCTGGAAGAAAAGGAAAACGACGGCCCTCGATCCCATCAAAATCTTCGTCTCCCTGGCTTTGCCGACGAAAATGAGGTCGCTACCGTAGCTGTCGCGGACGAATTTTCTCTACGTTCTCGAAAGAGGCGTAGGGTCCAGCCGCCGCCCGAATCCGACAATGAGTTTGTGCCGGGAGAGTCTGGATCTGAAGCGGCTTCTCCTGAGGCCGACGCATCCGACGATTACGATGATTATGAAATGGCGGGCACCACACTCAAGAAGCGGAAGAAAGCAGTCAGAGAAGCCGATGGTGATGACAAGGTCGATCTGAGCGGGATCGATGATGGCAACGAAAAAGTCTATCAAGCAAGACTGAAAGGCTGGGTAACGCGCAGGAGCAATGCACGACGGGCTCGTCAGCAGAGGCTCGGCCAGCCAATTGATAAGAATGATGATGGGACAGAGGAATGGTTCAAGCCAGCGCCTGACCAGCCTGACCACCAGTTCGAAAACGGGCTGAAATTGCCAGGTGACATTTACCCAGCTCTCTTCGACTATCAGAAGACCAGCGTACAGTGGCTAGCTGAGCTGTACGCGCAGCAAGTTGGAGGTATAGTTGGAGATGAGATGGGTTTAGGAAAGACTGGTATGTTCTCTCCGATGTCCCCCCTGGGAATCCACGGAACGTTGCTGACGAGATGTAGTGCAACTGATTTCTTTCGTGGCTGCGTTACACTACAGTCAAAAGCTCGACAAACCCGTCATTGTTGTAGCCCCGGCAACAGTTCTGCGTCAATGGGTAAACGAGTTTCACCGCTGGTGGCCACCACTTCGAGTATCCATCCTTCACTCGTCTGGCAGTGGCATGCTCAATGTCCGCAACGAAGGAGCGCTTGATGACAGAGAGGATGACTACGGCAAGAGAAAGCCTAAAAAGTCAAGCCAGGCTGCAAAGAAGATCGTCGATCGCGTTGTTAAGCATGGCCATGTGCTGGTGACAACTTATGCCGGTTTGCAGACGTACGGCGATATATTGATCCCGGTCGACTGGGGCTATGCTGTTCTGGACGAAGGACATAAAATCCGAAATCCAAACACAGCAATCACCATTTACTGCAAGGAACTTCGGACGCCCAACCGTGTGATTCTCTCCGGCACGCCAATGCAGAACAACTTGACAGAACTATGGTCTCTCTTTGATTTCATCTACCCCATGCGTCTCGGCACCTTGGTTGCCTTTCGAAATCAGTTCGAGATCCCGATCAAACTTGGCGGTTATGCCAACGCAACCAACCTTCAGATCATGACTGCTCAGAAATGTGCAGAGACGTTGAAAGAGACCATCAGCCCCTACCTACTTCAGCGGCTCAAAGTAGACGTGGCTGCCGATTTACCCAAGAAAAGCGAACAGGTCCTATTTTGTAAGCTGTCCAAGCCCCAGCGCGAGGCGTACGAGCTATTCCTCAAGTCGGATGACATGACTGCCATTCTCAACAGGACGCGCCAGTCCCTCTACGGTATTGATATCTTGCGTAAAATATGTAATCATCCCGATTTGCTTGATCCGCAGCTCAAAGATGATCCCTCTTACAAGTGGGGCAGTACCAGCAAGTCGGGGAAAATGGCAGTGGTGAAGTCATTACTTCCCATGTGGAAACGTCTAGGCCATAAAACGCTGTTGTTCTGCCAGGGTACTCAAATGCTGGACATCATCGAGGCATTTGTGAGGCGCCAGGATGGCATCAACTACCTACGTATGGATGGCAAGACGCCCGTCAAAGATCGGCAGACGCTTGTCGACCAGTTCAACAATGACCCGGACTTACATCTCTTCCTTTTAACCACCAAAGTGGGCGGACTTGGCACCAACCTGACGGGAGCTAACCGGGTCATCATCTTTGACCCAGACTGGAACCCATCAACCGATGTCCAGGCCAGAGAACGTGCATGGCGGTTGGGACAAAAGAAGGAAGTCACTATTTACCGGCTTATGACAGCTGGAACTATCGAAGAAAAAATCTACCACCGCCAGATCTTCAAGCAGTTCCTGTCAAACAAGGTATTGAAGGACCCGAAGCAGCAGACCTCATTCAATTTAAATGACCTTCATGACCTGTTCAGTCTAAGCTCGTATGAAGACGGGAAGACCGAGACAGCAGAGCTATTTAAGGGCAGTGAAGTCAAACGCCTGTCTTCAGGACCCACGGAGATAGTCTTGCCTGGTAACGACACGCCAGTTCTCCGGGCCCCTGGAGCCAGCAAACCAGTGGAAGTCAAGGACGAATCCACAAGTGAGGACGAGACAAGCAACCTCCGTCATCTTGAAGGAGTTGCAGGATTGGAAACATTCAACGACGATGGACCGGCCCCTGCACCGAACGAGGAGGACCGTCTGATGGAGGGTATCTTTGCACGTTCCATTCACAGCGCTCTTGAACACGACGAGATCATGAACGGCAAAAAGCCAACGGTCAAGGCAGACCGCAGAATTCTCCAAGCAGAGGCGGACCGAGTTGCTGCTCAAGCGGCCTTGGCTCTCCGCCGTGCGGGTGAGGAAGCCAGAAATGTGCCCATCGGCACGGTCACTTGGACGGGCGAGTACGGCGAAGCTGGTCGTCCGGCGCCCCGTCATGAACGCGGAGGTTCCAGCTCAGTAGGTGTTCGCGGTGCAGCAGGCGGTGCGGGTCCGTCGAGAGCGTCGAGACCGGCGACACCGTCTGATAACAGAAACCTGAAAGCAGAGGACTTTGAAAAAATGATTCCGGCGTTCATTAAACGACATGGTGGCAGGGTCCCATCGAAGTCGCTCGTCGACCACTTCAATCACTATTGCACGGGAGCGAGACAGGCAGATATGTTCAAGGTTGCTTTGGAGAAGGTGGCCAAGTTGGAGAAGAAGGGGTCGAGCATGCGGGGCATTTGGACTGTTCGTCCGGAGTATCAGTGATGTTCTTTCGGACAATGCACGGGTAAGGTTCACATTGGCAGCCAGAGGTATAAGGGCGGTTTTGATCTCGAACTTGCCAAGACGGACTGGAATCCTGAAGTACATCAATGGATTTGTACAAGATTTAGATGGTGGTCTGGAGAAGATTATGGAGGACACTATTGGGGTATGTATGCCTGGGAGCTTACACCACCTTGGAAGAGAGTGGACGGGTTATCGCGTCGCCTTTTCGTTGCGTTTATGATACCAACGTTTGTAGCTTTTTTTTAAGGAAAAAAAAAAAAGAGAAAACAGGAAAAGAAAAGAAGACAAGAACCAAGCGTCGACTTTAATCATGGCCAATCTTGCCTGCTTAATCAATCGCGTAGATAAATGGTTGTAAAGATTTGGTAACCAACAGACTTAAGGTGCTCTTCACGCTCCAGCACTAACAGCGACAATTCGCTGCCTTTATCAAATGCACAAACCTCAACTTGAACATGATATCGAGCACATCGCTGTCAGCGATGTGCAAGCCCAAGAGACTGGAGCCGGAGCCGGACTGAGACTCGGCAATGTTGTCACTTCGGATGCAGTTTCCAATGCCGGCAATGTAACCGATGGGGCGCCACCACCGCTCTCACCAGGAGACTATACAGTGTACCACCGACTGGCCGAGCAGATGGACTACTTTGTCTGTGCTCATCCTGTCCTGCACCCTATTCCTCAATATCAAATGAAAGCACAATCACTTTCGCTCGATGTGCAATACGCTCGACACAGCCTGTACCTGGGACAACGGTAATCAAGGCACAGCAGGACTGACTGAACGACAACCCATAGAATGCGGGCTCCGTTTCACTCGCTACCTAGAAGCTCACCAATCCATCAAAGACTTCAGTTGCATGATCTCCTTATAGCAAAGCAAATGCCTCAATTCCGAGCTGCCATCAAGGCCCATGATCGTCAACGTCGTCGTCATCATCATCATCATCATCAACAGCAGCAGCAGCAGCATCAGCATCGTAAGCGAAACGGAAGAAGAGTATCAGGGGGGCCAAAGGAGGACATGGAAGAAGCAGCGAACCGTGAATTAATCCAACAACACCGTACCATCCACTTGGACATAATTAGGAGGTGGAGGAGTTGGGGCGGAGAGGAGAAGATGAGTAAGTTTTGGAGTTTTGAGGAAACGAAGAGATTGTTGTTGTCCGAAAGAAACGAAGAGGGCAAGTCAGGGAAGGGGTTTGAAGGCCGTGAGTAGTGTAGTGATCGAGAAATGTTTCAGGACATGGAAGTAGTGATTTGTGTTGAGAGTATGGCTGATGGTGGTGGACTAGACCAGGCGGTGGTGATGGATTTATTGCCACTCTTTGTGTACATCCTGGTCGGCTGCGGAATGGACTGGAAGTTGCTGCTCCCTAAGTCTTCAGATGGGAGATGGATGGCGATATGAGGTCTAAGTACGGCTGTGTAGAAACATGCTAGCATCGATCATGACATGTATGTGAACAGGCAACTGCTATAGAATGTGGTCAAAATTACAGATTCTCTCTTCCGTTCCCTGACAGGTGAACGACGACGGATGATTGCCCAACAACCGCGACGCGCAGCAAAGACTGCCAAGCACAATCCACCAGTGAAGCAAGAACCCTTCTGGCAAAGCGGAGTCGGTGAACCAGGTGACGCCAGTTCAAAGTGGACTTCTGCCTGAATAGTAAGGCCACATATGCCTTATCGGCGCTTTATCTGTGCTTATCTGTGCTTGTCAACAGTGAAAGAATGCAGGCCCGCCAAGTGTTGCCAGTCGGGTCCAGTTTTTTTTTTTTGGTGCCAGACCGCCCCTACATGGTAATCTGGGGGACAGGTACGGCAATGGTCCCCTCAAATCCGCCTTCGCTGTAACGACCTGACTACATACAGTGAAAGGGAACCAAGGGAAGAAAAAAAAAATATTTTTCTGGGGCACTTGCACGCAAGGGACGCGTTGCGCCTTCCGCCTCCAACAAAAGGAAAGACTTTTTCTTCCCGCTTGGAGGCGAGTCGGGTCTGGCACAGGATCCGCATCTCACATCCACTAGCACTGCACAGCGGAACCCACCAATCCTCCATCGAAATCTCCCTTTGGTCAGGTTCTTTTCCCATACTAACCTTACGTGACGGGTCCTTGTCCAGTGCCCCCAGAGTTTTTTTTCGTTTCGACTTCCGTCCAGAAAAACTTGCACTTCACCCTTCGCAACAGCCCTTTTCTTCCTTCCTTCCACCCACCCTCCATCTCCAATATCCCTTCCCGCCTACTTCTTGCGATCCTGCAAGATTCTTCATCTGCGATCCTTCCGTCTCTAACCAGTCGGACTGCTTACTTGTAACCACTTCACGCGTGTCGTTTGGTTCTTGTCTCTAGACGTCTGTCTTTTCCGACGTCTTCTTTTCCCGACAATCGATACCCTTGCGCCTCTAGGCCTTGTTTGCTTGTCGTTTCGGTCTACCCTTCAGCAACCCCAATAACAACCGATCTTCAATCGTCAACCTTTTTCAAACAACCAGCAAACATGTCCGGATCTTACGGCGGCGGCGGCTACGGTGGCCGCGGTGGCGGTGGTGGTGGATATTCTAACGGGTACGATCGCAATGGCGGCGGCTACTCTAACAACTACTCCTCACACGGGTATGATGTTTTAGCGCGAACCTGCTCATTTTCTCACTCTCTCTCTCTGCATGTCAAGATCAAATCGCTAACATCTGGTTCAACAGTGGCTCGAATGGCTACGGAGGCGGCGGCGGAGGATATGGCGGCGGTGGTGGTGGCTACGGAGGCGGCGGCGGCGGCTACGGTGGTGGTGGCGGCGGTGACAGGATGTCTGCTCTCGGTGCCGGCCTGCAGAAGCAGAACTGGGACATGAGCGCTCTTCCCAAGTTCGAGAAGTCCTTCTACCAAGAGCATCCTAGCGTCGCCAACCGCTCTCCTGCTGAGGTCGACAAGTTCCGCGCAGACCACTCCATTGCCGTCTTCGGTAACAACGTTCCCAAGCCTGTCGAGACCTTCGACGAGGCTGGTTTCCCTCGTTACGTTATGGACGAGGTCAAGGCTCAGGGTTTCCCTGCTCCTACCGCCATTCAGTCGCAGGGCTGGCCCATGGCTCTTTCTGGTCGCGATGTCGTCGGTATTGCCGAGACCGGTTCCGGAAAGACGCTCACCTACTGCCTTCCCGCCATCGTTCACATCAACGCTCAACCTCTCCTCGCTCCCGGCGACGGTCCTATCGTCCTTATCCTCGCCCCTACCCGCGAGTTGGCTGTCCAGATTCAGCAAGAAATCTCCAAGTTCGGCAAGTCGTCCCGCATTCGCAACACCTGCGTCTACGGTGGTGTCCCCAAGGGTCCTCAGATTCGCGATCTTTCCAGGGGAGTCGAGGTCTGTATCGCCACTCCCGGCCGTTTGATCGATATGCTTGAGTCTGGCAAGACCAACCTCCGTCGTGTCACCTACCTTGTCCTCGATGAGGCTGATCGCATGTTGGACATGGGTTTCGAGCCCCAAATTCGCAAGATCATTGGTCAGATTCGCCCTGATCGTCAGACTCTCATGTGGTCCGCTACCTGGCCCAAGGAGGTCCGCAACTTGGCCGCCGACTTCTTGACCGACTTCATCCAGGTCAACATCGGTTCCATGGACTTGGCTGCCAACCACCGCATCACCCAGATCGTCGAGGTTGTTTCCGAGTCCGAGAAGCGTGATCGCATGATCAAGCATCTTGAGAAGATTATGGAGGGCCGCGAGAACCAGAACAAGATCCTCATCTTCACCGGCACCAAGCGTGTCGCCGACGACATTACCCGCTTCCTCCGCCAGGACGGCTGGCCCGCTCTTTCCATCCACGGCGACAAGCAACAGAACGAGCGTGACTGGGTTTTGGACCAGTTCAAGACTGGCAAGAGCCCTATCATGGTTGCCACCGACGTGGCTTCTCGTGGTATCGGTATGTATCCATCTTACCCCTCCGCCCTGCCCAAACCCCTCCCCCCCTTCTTCTCTCCCCCATCTCAGGCGACTTCCAGCATACGTATGTGCTTGTGCTTTACTCTTATGTCTAGGGGCTCTCTTGATTGCGCGAACTTGCCTGACCTTGTGTCGACTCGGTCTATCTGAGTGGAGTCTTGGGTTCGTGACGTAGCAGAAACAGTGGACTATGCTACGCCCGCGTGATTCTTCAATTGTACCTTTTTATCCCAGTTGTGGTACAAGCGAGGAGTAGGCATTTCTTGATTCCCGTCAAGCTTGTCTCCAAGATTCCCAAGGGGATTTGCATGCATGGCCCAAGGATCTCTGGAACCTTGGATCCCAACCCGGCATATTTTTCGCAATGGACAGCCCACCTGCCAAGGAGAAAAGTACTACCAGAGGATCACAGAACATACCTAGATATTCGTGTTCTCCGTCCGTTCTGGAATGTCGTTATTCCAAACCCTGCTATTGCTAACCACGGTCCTTCAAATAAGATGTGCGCAACATTACTCACGTGCTCAACTATGACTACCCCAACAACTCCGAGGATTACATCCATCGTATCGGCCGAACTGGTCGTGCCGGTGCGAAGGGTACTGCCATTACTTTCTTCACCACTGACAGTAAGTGTCACCTGAATCTGCCCATCCTTAGCCGAACGAAATGTTAATGTTATCCCTCTACAGACTCCAAGCAGGCTCGTGAGCTCGTCGGTGTCCTTCAAGAAGCTAAGCAGCAGATTGACCCTAGACTTGCCGAGATGGCTCGCTACAGTGGTGGTGGAGGTGGCCGCTTCGGTGGCTATCGCGGCCGTGGCGGCGGTGGATGGCGCGGTGGTAAGTCATTTTCACGCAGGTGAATTTGGCAGTTCCAATCCTAATAACCCTCATTAGGCCGTGGCGGCGGTGGTGGCGGCGGCTCCGTCGGTGGTGCTAATGCCCTTCCGCTTAACAACCGCCGGTGGTAAAGCACCACTTGAAGCGAAACAGCACATATCGATTGACCTTCCTGGTCCCTTGTCGCCATGGTCATTCCACACGACGAATGGCCCATGACAGCGACAATCTCGACCTCGAACATGATCACGGCGTTTTAGTAGAGGATACGGTCTAGAGGTTGGTTTATTGCTTTCAGACGCTCACTGGTGTCTGTTTTCACCTTGACGTCTAGGTGGTATGGGTGTGGCTTTGTTCTTTTTTTTTTCTCGTATTCCCTTATTGTCATGCTTTGCGGGTTACTATTTTCACTGAGGTCAGCCGGGGTTCCAAAATTTTCCTTTATTTTTCCGGAAAGTCTCATCTACAGGTCATGTTGCACCACAACTGCACTTGCAGATCATCAAACTGTCCAGGTCAAGATGGCCGGGTTTTATACCCTTCACCATATCTCGTCATGCCATTGCTCTGTCAAGGCATTATATGACTTATGACGACGGCTTATCAGTCGAGGTGTGAACAGGAGATTTCAACTCTCTTGTTTCCCTAACAGGACGGGCGCAGGCATCTCGCCTCTCATCCTCGTTGATTAGTGATGATCTTACCGCAGACTTGTGGTAGCAGTCGATAGGTACTATCCTCAGCTTTTTGTGTTGTACAATAGGAAGAGGATCCTTTTCAAAGCATCACGGCTTGAAAGATTTTCGAAGGATCTGTCTAGTCACCAAGAGAGTCAGAGATAAACACGCGCTTTGTTTGCGCCCTTGGGCGCTGCAAGACTACTGCTCACCAGCTGGGTGGGATGTTTACGGTAATTGTCACCGAGAGAGGGTAGTAGAAATGAACTAGGTAGGTCTTCAAAGAAAGATACCCTTCATGCTTAGATGAGAAAGAACATTTACGCTAGAGGTCTCTGTCCTAGCTCGCTGTCAATGTGATTGAGGTTGAATGTTTTGAGGTTTACGCTCAAGTGGATGTCTCGCTCAAGTGTACCTGTGACGATGGCCCAGAATCGTAGGGTAATTTGAGGATTTGATTCTGGATTTCTCGCGATAAAGCTGTGGGTTTCACTTCGATGAGTCTTGTCTACGAAGTAGTCCTTCACTTCCATATAAAATATCAATATGAGCATCTCCCTGATATATGTGTCTCGTAACATTCGGTTTAGATGGTCTGTACTTTATGTTCGCAGAGTATTTCCGGTTCTACTCTCACTATGAGGTACTGACTGACTATAGAGAAGCCACTTGGCACAATTTGTGCTGCGTTTCAAGGTTAGTATGAATTGTGTGCTTTGATAGGTTAGTCTTATGATTAGGTCAGAAAAATGAGCAACCTCCAACCAGGGACTTGCGGGCTTCAACATCACGACTACTATAGCGTTATGGTTCCGGTGTTGATTTTGGTAAATGGCCATCAGCTTAACATATGGGTTCGAGTGTCTGCTGAGGTCCGATCGTCAAGTGATTAATGATAGTGAGGAAGGAGCGATTCGAGGTAAGGAGAGAACGACTTGAGGTATGTATGTTGTGAAAAGGCTAACGAGTGGCAGGTGCGAAAGATATGAGTTTTAGCAGCACGTTCAGTTTCTATGAACCTCTTCCCGAATCGTTCACGTGGATATTTCTTTCTTTCGTTTGTCGAACTTCAAGCTAGCAATTTTCCTCCGCCTCAAATCCTAAACGAATGAAAGTTGGCTGTAGAGCACTCAAACAAGGGTAACCGGCCCCCACCGTTTGCTGTCCAGGACCCCTTGGTCTCCATCTTCGAATGTATGAAGATCTTTAAGATGGCAAGCAAAAGCTGGACCGATGACTCTATATTTGCCACTGACCCCCTGCTTCCGCATTATCATGGGCTGACCGACACCATCGATCAGGTATATCTCATCTCCCTTCTCTATCCCGCTCGGTCCTTTTCCAACAAATCCGTCATTCGAAACAAACAAGCTGGCAGTGCCGGCAAAACCACGGCAGATATAATCGGTAAATCTGCGCGCTTGAAACTCCCGCTCTGACAGCGCCAATTTAACCAACTCATGCCTAGAGGCATCATCATAGCCAGGTGAGGCCAGAATCTTGTGCCATCGCCTGAAGTCCTCTTCACACCAATCTGCTGGTGATGACTGACTGGATGGGCACAGCGTCAGAGATATCGAGAACGAGTTGTACTCGCACCGGGGCGTTTGTCGTGCGTATAACTCGACGAGCTCTCGCCGCCACTCGTCAATAGCAGTGAGGGAGCCACGCCATACGGGCTCAATGCTATTAACCCGGTCCTCGCGTCCGATAGGCTGTGAAGTGTAGCTTAATTCTCCAATGAAGAGTCCCCTGACGACGATCTCGGTTTCCGAATTCCACTTCACCAAGTCAAAAGAGTCTGGCCTTGCCGAACCTTCGATGCGGCTGTAGATAGCATCATCTTTCACCCAATGTAGCTTCTCTGATCCCCAGCCCGGAACCCAGCTCGGTGCTCCTTGCAGTGCTGACCCTTTTACGTCCGATAGGAGGGCGATACACGATGGGTCCCGTTTTACCAACTCGGTGTATAGCTCGTGATACACCTTCCCAAGCGGTTTTGTGTAGTCAGGCTGTGGAAGCGATATACCCAGTCGCTTCAGCACACCATGCGTTGCAAAGGATTTGTCGTGGGCCTTTTGGGCCTTACGGTCCCTAAGGACGCGGATGATTGCAACCAGACCGCTGGCCGCATCGACGTCGGACTGCGCATGTGTCCCTACAGTAGGATAGCCCATGGTAAAAGAAACGTAATAAAGAAATGGAGCGATATTGATCAAAAAAAGCATTGCTGCAAACATGAAAGTGAAGAAATATGTCGTTTTTACCTCTGCGAAGTCATCAGCCAATAGAAAGCTAGATATAGCCCATATTGCGATGGCAATGAAAACTATCAGGAGCCCGACGTATGGGAGTAGGATCACGGGTCTAACTTGATTCCATATTCTCCCGATGTTGAATTGGCCTTCGTATTCCTTGACGGAGACATAGTTTGCATAGCTTCCGCTCTGTAAGCTGTTGCCGTTCTGCTCTGGGCCATTCAGCTTGGGCACACTGCGAAAAGCTCGTCCATTCCAGCTCGTGGGGCGAGCAACCGTTCGCCAGACCTGGAAAAGGTTCGACCATCGCTGTGAAACATCTGATATTGTCATGGACTCATCAGCCCGACTTATCAAATCGCTGCCAGTTTGGAAGTCTTCGGAAATGGCCCAGCCCTTGAAAAGCTGGTACCGCACCTTGATGGATGAAGGGGGCCCGTCTCTGCTGCTGTCGCCCCAGATGCTGCCCGTGCTTGGAAAGGACGGCCTCATCCGATTAAGGCAGTCGAGCCCCTGCTGTAATTGCGCCCAACCGATCGTCTCCTCTCCACAGACAATGATGGGATTGCTCGCCAGCACAATCTCCTGGAATGTCCACACTCGCTCCAGCCACTCCCTATCCAGCAAGCAATCGATATCTCCGGACGCCAGCAAACCGCCCTTCTGAGGTCTGCCAAGGGCACATGCTTCGAGAAACGATAGAACGGGGTGCCAGTAGGTCCGCAAGAACACCCTGACCATACTCTTGGCCAGTTGCATCTTGTAGTACGCCACCGACCTCGGACCGCGGGCGGCGTACATGTCCTCTTCAATCCACGGCACCCCAACAGGCACAATCCTGAGTTTTGCCGCTCTCTCCAAAACCCTTACGGCCCTGGCGGTCCTCTCGTTCCCTTTCCCCAGCCACACCCACACCGTCCTCGCCCACGTGTACACCTCAGCCATCAGCCCGATTTGCCCGGCCTTCTCCGTGTCATCAGCCTGGTTGATGCAGATGGCATCAATCCAAATAGTAAGCGGGAAAGTTGTCCTACTCCGCACCGGATCCCCCGCATGATGCCGTTTTCGAAGAGCGAGAAGTGCATCGCGGCCGTTCTTAGTAATGGGTATGTCACAATAGCCATTGCAACGGATGGTGTCCACGATAGGAGAAGAGTAAGAACCCCAGGTGTATGAAAGGGCGGTAAAGGCGGGGAGGTCGGATAGTTGGACTACGCGGAGGGTACCCTGGAGAGGAGCGTCTGGGTTCTTTCTTGGGTGGGGTGGATCGATGTCCAAAACGCGAATGGATGGGTTGGAAGGGTCTAGGCGGAGGTGAGAGTATAGTTGTTGAGGGCTCAATTGGATTTGAGGAGTGGCATCTTGGATTTCGTTCGAGTGATTCTCGTCGTTCATGGCCAAGAGACTGATACGGCCGTTGTCGGGGTTCCCTATGGCAGCAGAATTCGGCGTCACGGTTTCTTGCAATTTGTGGAACAGCGTCTTGATGGCTTCCATCATTGAGTTGTTTCATTTAGCGTGAATGATGGCCTCTCTGAACTCATCGCCTTCAACTCGAAATAAGGCTTCAATATATAATCAGGGCCACAGTGAGGCTGTATATAGGTCTAGCGAGTTGGTTGGTCAGGAGGCAAAGTTGCACGGGCAGTCTTTAATGCACCGCCGCAACTCCGCCTCCCACAAATGAATACTCAAACAGGTGCATTGTGACTAGCTGGTAAGCAGTGACGAGTTCTCATGCGGAATTAAGAAAGAGTCTTTTAGACTTTGAAGACGTTCATAGATCAAGTGAGGTGCCGATCTCACTGCCACTCGAAAATCCTCAACTGTCAGGCTATGGAACTTCTTACCAGCAATAAAATCTGAACAAGTGACCTAGGGCCCACTGAGACGCTGCTCATCATTAGATAGTCCTTCCCGCAACGCTTTCAGACATCCACGCTTTGTAAATTTGTGGATTTTCTGGCTTGGGCGGTGGTAAACAATCCACAGGACTTTGTTCTTGTGTCACCAAGACGGTGGCGTAGCGCAAGCACAGTTGGTGTGTGCTGACCCTGTTTCCTTTAGGCTTTCTTCATGTCGGGTGCCTCTGGTTCATCAGACAGCCATCGATCAACAAAGTCCGAAGTTTACTCAGAACTTGAGCGCCTTGCCACCCTGCTTGGGATAAGCAGAGGTTACCGGCTGCATATCAACCGCCACAGAAATATCAGGAGTGCCAAACTCCGCTGCCTCTTCAGTGATAGCGATGCCTTTGAGGAAGGTAATCGGCTCGGAACTCAAGGACTTCATTACTTTTTTATCTTGCCCCGCGACTGAAATTGGCGTAAGAGGTCTTGGACCTCTTCCAAATTCGCACTGAGAACGGTGCCGTCTAAGACTCGGCTTTCTCGGCAAAGCCCGATTGCTGAAAAACATGATCTCGTCCATGTTGGGTCGGGGAAGAGGTGTAGTGCATGCCTCGACGTATACCTTACTCTTCAGGGTTTGAATCGGGCTAGGGTTGTACTCCTCTTCGCACTGCATAGGGATCTGATCTTCGTCCAAAAATTCAGGACAAAGCTCGGCCAATGTGCTCTCTGTTCCCCTTTGACGCTCAGAAACTGGCAAATCGATCACCGAGGAGAAGGCCATGTTTCTCATTGCGGGACTGACTTTCAGTGAAGCTGGGCTATGGAATAGTCAGATGGGATAGGTCATTGACAGTGGGAGAGGCCAGATACAAACCTGCGCCCATTGCAGACGAGATAACGGATATCGAAAGTAGGGAGTGTCTCGGATTCATTGATGCCATCTTCCGGGGTGTCTTGGGGTGTCGGTGGAGGAGTCCACGGAGGTCGAACATGGAGAAAATCGCTCGCAAATGAACCGTTCGCGTACGCAAAGTCGAACGTATCCGTTGAGGAACCAACCATACATTGTGAATGGGGATGCGTGCCAGGCGGACTCAAGCGGCACGGTAATACCGGAGTGATCATGTTCCCGGCGTCAGAGGAACCATCATGCGCAGCCATCCCGAGGTACTGGTCAGCGATATCCAGGGCCTCATTGCTTTGTATGGAGAGCCAAGCGTTGGCCGAATGGTGTTCAGAGCGTTCAATGGGCTGTTTCAACTTGATGTTAGACAAGGAACCGTGTAGGTGGGGCCGATATACAGCATACCACAGGAACAGGTCGGTAGCCAATGCTGCGCACAATTTCAGCCTTTGCGTAGGGCCTTGACTTTAACTTGCTAAAGCCATAGCCGACAGCCACGGTTGGTTGGATATCGTCTTCGACCACCGAATCGATGTTGATACGATTCTTTTCGGTGGCGCTAGGGCAGCAATTGTGACAGACAGTGAAGCTGCACTCTGTTTCACGGCTTGGCATCCACGGTTGGTCGTCGTCGGGGAATCTCTTTTTAGCATGCTTGTAGCGCGGGTGATCGAATTGGTGGCGTTCTTCTGCTATAGTATTCTTGACCTTTGAGTTTGTGCTTACGTTAGTAAACCGAATGCCTTTTGAACTCAAGCTACACGCAGACGTACGTTCTCGCGCTGGCTCAGTATCTTCTGGATTTGAGACGGGGTGTAAGAAACCATCTGTTCGGGAGTAATCTCCCTGAGAAAGCTATAATCCTCGTGGCGGGCGTCTGGACCATGCTTCCCAAGAGTCATCTTCTCAGCGAACTTACAGCCAATGCCGTCAAAGGCCACAGGAATTCCATTGGCCTTTCTGCCCATGATCAGGGCATCGCGATCAACGATACACCTGTAGACCCAACCGAAATCGCCCTTTCGCCTGCAAAGAGCACACTTGTCTCGCGTAGAGTAGAAGCGGGTCATGACAGAGTGAGAGCATCTGGTTTGGAATCGGCGCTTCGAGGAACGCTGAGAATAGATGGCGAAATTGGACAAGGGGATGGCTAAAGGTGGAAACGCAAGAGTCGCGATTGGCAACGCCGGAAGCGGCTTTCCCATGTCGGGCGCCTCCATTGCGTCGACAATATGCCTTGGCGTTCGAGGACGGACAGGAAGCTGTCGCGGGAGGTCAGGGCCGGCCATAATGTCGGCAGGGAAGAGCAGTTGCTGGCGCGGTCGCAGTCGTGAATACTGTCACTGTAGGAGCTATCGTCAATAGATGGCGGTGGAGAAAGCTGCGATGAAGTCTTTGGCCATGCCGAAGGAGAAGGATGAAGACCAGCGAAGACCAGCTCGACCAAGAATCCTCGCAATGTTTGCAGGACGATACCTTGGGAGGCGTCAATGGGCTGGTGTCGTTGTCGGACAAACGCTGTGAGTAGGCCGAAGACGAAGTGAGGCGACGGTGGTGCCCGCGTCGAGCATCTGCAAACCTCGAGGGCAGTAAAACCGGATGACAAGAATTGGATGCCCACATCCTGCACCAACATCAAGTTCTAGCCAGTGTTCTGTCAGCATCCTCCATTACATGCCAAAGTCGCTCCATCGACGCAGATGAGATCAACTTAAAATCCCGTCCCCCCAGATTTTCGAAAGACTGAACTGCACAAATGGACGGATCTGCGTTGGTGGACACTTGCCAAAACTATCCAATTCATCGCGCCTTCCTTCAACCTTGTCAAGTTGTCCCAAGCCCGCTTTGGACGCAAGACGCACAGAAAAAAAAAAAAAAAAAAAAATTAATGGGAAATAGTCAACCAACTCCCGCTCCAAACGGCTCATCTTTAGCCTACAACACCCAGCAAATTGATCCCCTTGATCGACCACCATTCGCAACATCCACAGTCTCTGTATCACCATTCGAAAATAAGAAATCATCTCTCCCTTGACCGCGCGACACAACAGTCTTTCAGATTTCCCCTGATGGGATATCCATTATCACTCTCTGAAGAATGGCATGGCACTTGCCAGACGTCGAATCCCTCCACCATATCCCTCCCTTCTCGCTCTTGGCTGCTAATGGCCTTTTCTCCAGATCACCTTCGGTTCTCGGTACCACTTGTCGATCCCATGACATGGGCTCTAGTCGTCGCATGTGTCGTCATACATGTGCTGACCTGTCCAACGGGGGGGGGGGGGGGGAAAAGGAAGCTGATACCCAATCTACCAATGCGGCTCAAAAGCATGTCATGCCTTCTTTTCCCCTGGCTGCCCTACCATTTGCCGGCCTGGACTCAGGGGAACATGACACTTTCCGATCTGTGGAGAACCGAGAGCCAACAGGGACAAAAGCATCGATGACGGCAGCAGATCCTGGCCCCGGTGAGCCCAGCGCCCTAATGCCCAAAGAAGCAGCAAAGAAAGTCAGAGGTCCAGTACAACCAATAAAACGCGCTCACGGCCGGCCGGCGATGGAAGGCTGCATCGTGGACCAGCACTCGCAGAGAATGCAAGGAACACTAGGACAGGGATGTCACTCAGGCGAACGCTAGCGAACACTGGGGGCGGGTCGATGATCTGTGCGGCCCCGGTCTGTTTCTCTTCTGGGTTGGGAAACGAAATGGTACCTCGGCCGGTTGGGTAAAAACACCAATCACGTCGGGACTGGACCCCGGCAGGCCTAGATTTCAGGTCCCCACAACAAACCTGTGCAGCTGCGATGGACCTCTGAGAGCTCGAGCTCGGGCAGCTCAGCGCTCCAGTCCCTGTTTTGGAAGCCACCCTGGGGAGCCACGGGGGTTTGATATTGGGAGCGACACGGCGGCGATCTGGCAAACGCAGAGAGCCCTCGCAAGTCGCAAGCCCTCAGCTCCTGGTCAGCTCCTGGGCCGGGGACCTGGGCGCAAGCTGGGGCTGGTCAGCTCCTGTTTACCAGCCTCCTCGTAAAGGCCTTCAAGACTCGCAATTTGCTATTTCCCCTTCCCTCGAACCACCCCCCGGATCGCGCCAGTTGCCAAACCCTGACCCTCTTTCACTCTTTTTTGCTTGCGCTTCTAGCGGTTCCAATCGACGTCGACTCGTGCTGTTCTGCTGTCCTCTCCACCTGTCGCTGCGTACATCCCATCGTCGGTGAGTTTGCTGTTCTTTTTTGGATGCTCACAGAGAAGCCCTTTGGAACCCGAACAGAAGGAGTCCCAAACAGTCGGTGACGGGCCCGGACGGCGCGGGCTAGGGGCCTGACGGGGCGTCATTGCGGAGCATTGGCAACTCGCATTATCCACTCCGAACGGCCCCCCAAAAGCCCCAACCTCCAGCGAAAGCTCCCAGCTTCCCCGGCCGGATGCCCCGTAATCACGGAGAGAAACCCGTCGCAACCGCTCCGGGCGCGACCGTCGCATCACGGCGATTTTGTCCGCGCCCGCCGATTCACACTAACGTTCTCCCTTTGTTATCGGTGCCTGCCCGTACCGTACCGGTACCGCTACCATATACCCGTGCGCCCCCGCTGACTACTGCCCTTCCTCCGCAGGCTTGACGCATCCCAATTATTAGATGTCGATTTGACCGCCGCTACCTTCCTCTCGCCATGTCGGTAAAAGAACACCACAGCACTGTTGGTGCCATCGCCGAGGCTGTCGCCGAAGCTGCCCACGGTGACTTGCCCGGTACCAAGGGCCACCATCCCATCTCGGCCGTCATTGGTACTGCCATCACCGGCGGCAGGCAAAATGCCGGCACTAAGGGCTATTTGACTGTACGTCATCCCGTCACTCCCTCTTCCACATGCGCGTCCTAGATGCGCTCATACGGCAACACCATGAAGTCGAACAGGTACAGGGGAAGGCCGTCATAAAGGATTGAAAGCATCATGGTGATGGATACTGACCTCATCGTCCACCTCAGGCCTACCTCAAGCAGCTGGAGACCAACCCCCTCCGTACCAAGATGCTCACTGCCGGTACCCTGGCAGGTAGTCAAGAATTGCTCGCATCATGGCTCGCCAAGGATCGCAACAAGAATGGCAACTACTTCACGGCCCGCGTCCCCAAGATGGCCACCTACGGCGCCCTTGTTAGCGCTCCCTTAGGCCATTTCCTCATCTGGATCCTTCAGAAGATGTTCCAGAACCGCAAGAGCTTGAGGGCCAAGATCCTCCAGATTCTTGTCAGCAACTTGATTGTGCGTCAATGTCCCCTGACCCTTATGCCCTGAGCGTGGTTAACCCTATCTTCTTTCATGTCCAGGTTGCCCCGATTCAAAACTCGGTATATCTTGTTGCCATGGCCATTATCGCCGGCGCCAAGACATGGAAGCAAGTCCAAGCGACCGTACGTGTCGGCTTCTGGAAGGTCATGAAGGTCAGCTGGCTCTCATCGCCCCTCTGCCTGGCCTTTGCCCAGAAGTTCTTGCCCGAAGCCGCCTGGATGCCCTTCTTCAACCTTGTTTCCTTCTTCATCGGTACCTATATCAACTACATTACCAAGAAGAAGCGCCTCGCCGCTTTGCGCAGGAAGCACTTTGGCGACGGTGCTCACGGCGACCATAGACATGATCGTGAGCGGGAGCGTGATCGTGAGCGTGAGCGCCATAGCAGCCCCCCTCACGGTCACGGCCCTTCCCACGGCGGCCGTCCCATCAACCCTACTCTCGGCAGCCATCACGGAGGTGGTCCCGTCCCGCCTCCTCAGGACTACCCTTCTCTCGGCCAGAACCCCCGTTACTAAGCATAAATGCTTCATCGGGCCAGCTCAAGTTACGGTGATGGACATCGAGTTCGAGCTGCGGATGGATCGTGACTGCTATGTGAACACACTGCCCCGGGATTACCCCTGATATATGATACCAATTATGAGAGTGGGGTCCTCGTTGAACCAACATCCGCGCCAGTCCGCCAGGTAGGCCCACCACAAGAAGACAGGTATAACCCAGCCACACACATAAAGCGACACTAATACAACGGATCTCCTGACGAAACGATTATGTGTAGATGAAGATACATTGGGGTTGTACACTGGAGAGAGGAGAATTAAGGAAGAAACGAGATCTTTTGAAAACTGGCTTCTTTGACATCTTTTTTTGTTGCAAGGCGCGGGAAAAAGCCGGAGCAAGTTGGATGCTGCGTGTGAATGAATGTATTATCTCTGTTATTACGTGTGCTTATTTGACGATGGATACTTGAATGTGTCACTGAGATGTCCGCGTTTACTGTTTATGAACTCCTGCTCTGATCTCCATTCTCGGTCCCTAGACTACATGTTCTAGTTCTCGGTGATTGGGAAGGGGAATGGAATGATGAAATGACATTACCCTCGATACAGGTACCACCCGCTCTTCTCGCTTTCAGCGGAAAATGAAATCTGTTCCAGCAGTTGGAATAGACTGCACAACTCCAACCGAGCCTAGTCACATCATAGTCCAGCCAGGCTCGTACGTATCCCATGATAGCACCTTCCTCCAGCATCCAAACATTGCCTAAAGCTTTCCAGCTGACGCCCAGGATTGTCTGATGGACATGCGAGATGTGAAGTGCCTATTTTGCCACGGGCTGCTTTTTGTGCCTTTCCTTCCATTCCCTCCACCTGACAGTCGGCACGGGCTGCGAGACATGGTTGGAGCGTTCCGGAGAATGCGGTGAACTTGGGTGCTTTCCCAATTACCACGGCGCGCGACAGTGCCCGGTCATCGCTGATCCACGTGAAGACACTGCTATCTTGGGACCAGCAACTCAGTGCGTGCCTATCGGGAGAACCCATAGCGACGTTCTGGCCAATCTCATGCCGATGTTGTCTTCACACCGTCGCCGCTCAGTCAAACCCTTCTAATGGAAGATCACCCTCGAGCATAAACCCAGGGCTCCAATACTCCCACTCAATACCCTGCTTGTCAACCCAAAGCATACCCTCGCCCACAAGATCCTCCAACGCCGTTTGCGCTCGTGCTCTCGTCCATCGCAGGTTATCCATCAACATTGACACGCTGACGTATCCCAACACCTGGGCCGCTTCTAGCACGGCGCTCTGATCCGTATTTAGTTCCTTGGGCACAGAGCGAATATACTGCTTGCTCCCAACCTTAATAACCGAATAAGCCGACCCAAGAGGCTTAAGTGTCCCTACGGCGCGAAGAATATCATCTCTGTTAATCGTGTCAGCCTCTCCATTCATTCGTTGATCCACCCACCGACACACTCTTAGAAGGTCCAAGAAAACAAATTAAAAAAAGCCAAAAGAAAAAAAAAGCAGAAGGATTAACCTACTCAGTAACCCCCTGAACCCCCATCCCCTCTACCCGTCCCTTCACCACCCTCTCCCTCACCATCCCCACCTCAATCAGCCCTCCGTTCTCCCCTCTCGTCTCCCCACAGACCTCCACCACCCTCACCGCCAGCTCAAAATAAAAATCATTCACCGTCCGCCCCAGCAACTGCGCCCACATACTATCCCCTTTCCCCTTGCTGTCGCCATGTCCACTACTAGCCAAAAGCGGATCCACCCCGATAGCCGCGCACATGCGCGCAAACTGTGCCCGGAAAGTAGGGTTGGACTTGATGTCTTTGGCGTGCGTGGCGGCGAATTGCTGTAACAGGGAGCGGAAGACGGAGAGTTGGGTCTCGAGAGCCGAGGCTTGCGAGGAGCGCAAGGCGGAGCCGTGCGTGGCGTATTGTGCGGAGGTGAGGCGGGAGCGGTCAAAGGCTGCGAGGCCGACTGCTTTGTTCTTGCGGTGGGACATTTTTTTTGGGGGGGGCCGGGGGAGAGTGGAAGCGGGTGAGTGCGTGATGGGGGTGTGAGTTGTGACGGTTGCTTAGTCTGTTCGGTTATGTGGTTTGAGTGTGTGGGTATTCTGGTGGCTGCCAATAGAGATGGTTTGTTGGGTGATGACTGAATGGGATGGATTGGAGATCCAAAGGCCTTTGTTTGTATAGGTGAGACGTGATAGCGGGATTGAGTGAAGCTGGGAATGAGGATGAAGATGGAAAGTCAAAAGCGGAGAAGTGAGGTTGACGTTGGGTGGAACAGTCGGAGTGGGATTCGGGAAGCGGGTTGATGGAGTGCTGGGCATGTGGCATGTGGGGCGCATGAGTACATAAGTAGCCCCTTCCCGTCCCGTCACCAGAACAGGGAAGTTCCATTGTTACGTATGTAGTTACATAGGTATGTCTACCGTACGCTTCAATTTGTTCCCTTGCTCGTGATATTGGAGTTTAACATCGACATTCTATGAAAATACCATTGTACCCTGGTTGCATAGATGATGTGGACGCGTTGAGACCTTGCTTGGACTGGCGAGGTAAGACCATCAAACGAGCGACGGCACCATCTCACAACTTAACCAACACACTTCTTTCTTGTTTATCCAACAATGTACGTATGCATACAGATGACCATGGAAACAGCGAGGTTCATGCTCCATTAGATGCACATTATAGTGTTTCTTTCACATATCATCACTCTCAACTCACAAGTTTATGCTATGCGAGCAATCTCTTGTCCGTGTTGTGGACTAACAACCCAACCGTACTTCATCTCCTCAGTCATTGAACGAAACCAATCCAACCTCCCTTCCATGCTCATCCAGATCCACCACAACCGGCATATCGTCATCATCGTCATCATCCTCGCCTATCTCATCCCGCTGTTTGGTTTCCTCAACCTTCGCATTCTTGGACCCCAGGTCCCATCCGCGGGTAAACAACCATGACTCGAGTTCGCCAAAAATAGCCCTCGCTGTCGACTGCTCCATGGTCACCGCATCGCCCAGCCCATTTAATACCTCCTCAAGCTTCCTGGCGTACTTAGCCAGTGCAGTTCTCAGCCTTCGCCGATTTTGGAGATTGAACTGGTAAATGGGTCTGTCCGGGCACGGCCCGATGGTATGCTCACTGCGGCCCTTCTCTTGTTCTTCCTCCGAGGTAGACTCGACATTTTCCTCCGTATAGATAATCTGCGCATGCAGCGTCCTAATAAGTTCAATAGTGAGGACCGGGTAAAAGAGAACCAGGCGGTACGCGCGCACGATGATCTTGAGCACAAGATCCCACCACTGCTCCATGCAAGCGTGGTTGCCCAGATGGGTGCCTGTCAAGAACGTGAACTGAAGCTCGGCGATGATCTCACACGGGTCAAAATTGGAGTCGGTGCTCCGAAGAAGAGCCAGAACTCGATCCGTGGTGTCCTCGACCACGTCTCGTCTAGTCGGGTCAGAGTCGAGAAGCTCTAAATCCTTAAAGTCTTGGGCAAAGAGGAAGTTGAACTCGCTGGACTGCACCGACTTGTATTGGGCTCTGTATGATTCTCCAGCAGCACAGTCGGCGGAGTCGACGAGCCAGGCGTCGACTGACTTTATGCCAGTGATTCGAGTTAGGAATGGCTCGGATATGGCGTGGGTTAGCTGCTGCCACATCTTGGCTGGGTCTGTGATGAATGATGGCTCGTTCCGGCCAGCGATGGAGAACGGCATGGGCTGCGAGGCTCTGGCAGACCTCCTCTTGGAACCACCGCGCATGTCGTACGGCTTTAGCTTAGGGTATATGGACTCGAGCCTTTCGGCCTGGTGTCGTTCCTCGGCTTGATTTGGGAGGCTGGAGAGGACCTCGTTGTACTGATTCCATTGCTTCACGTGCACTCGGCTGTTTTGTTCCTGGGTGACATACCAATATCCGTTTCGGGATGTGGCACCGGGTTGCTGAACCCACAGAAGATGAGTGCCGGCAGGTATGTCACGAAAACCGAGAAGGCTTTCGCTGGTGGTTATGGCCATGTCGTCATGGCCGACGATGAAGTCTTTGGGGAGAGATAGAAGTAAAAAGACATCTCCGTGGCCAATGCTGCTGCTCGACTGCGCCAGCGGTGGCATGTCATGGTCCGCTTCATCATCTCTGGCGGTAAAGCTCATATTGGTGGATGGGAATGGCGTGAGATACAAGTCGCTGGAAGTCTGGACTTGTTGGGGGAGAGTCCGATATTGAAGTAACAGTTTCGGCAAGTTCGACGATTGGCTGATGTTATGACAGAGTGGGGCGCTATTACTGCCTGCCGACTCCGGGATCCCCGGCCAGAAGTGAGTGGGTAGCTCACCTCACACATGCCCTCGACCTCGGCCCTCAATCGGAACGCCAAGACCACAACAAGGGTACTGCCCCACACTGTAGAAAAAACTCAGCCGAAGCCGGATACCTTAATAATAAATTTTCGTATTGTATATTCTTTGAATTTTCTTATTGGTGGATATTTATAGAAGTAATCTAAGGTTAAAATAGTATCTAAAATATAGTACAGAATAAATTGATTATTAATTAATTAGGAATATATATATAATAGATTTTCAACTTTTATTATATTTTATAATTATACTCCAATTCGTGTTAGATTAAATATATTAATAATATATTATTAATATATTATAATGGATTTTTGACTTTTATTACATTTTATAATTATATTCTAATTAGTATTAGATTGAATATATTCATAATATATTATTAATATATTATAATGGATTTTTGACTTTTATTACATTTTATAATTATATTCTAATTAGTGTTAGATTGAATATATTAATAATATATTATTAATATATTATAATAGATTTTTGATTTTTATTATATTTTATAATTATATTCTAATTAGTATAAGGTTTAATATATTGAGAATGTATTATTAATATATTATACCAATTTCTTCACTTTTATTACATTCTATAGTTATATTCTAATTAGTGTAAGGTTCAATATATTAGAAATATATTATTAATATATTATACCAATTTTTTAACTTTTATTACATTTTATAATTATACCCTAATTAATATAAGGTTCAATATATTAAAAATATATTATTAATATATTAATATATAATATCTCTATATAGTAAATAAATTAATTAAGTAAATAGAAATAAGTAGTAAGATAAGGGTAGTAGTAAAAGATAAGGATAAGATTTTGAAGAGATAAGAGGTAAAGAGAATTTAGAAGGGTTAGTAGTGTAAGGAGGGTATATAAATAAAATAAATAATAATATTTTCTAATAAGTGTAGTATAGCGGTTAATATGCTAATTGTTGGTATTAAGGTTATAGGTTCGATTTACGTTGTAGTTTCTTTTTTTTTTCCTTTTTTATAAGAAATTTAGACTTTTATTATTTTATAGCTATAAATATCTATTAATTAATTATATTACTTTCTTATTTACTTTTTTTCTATTAAAAATATCCAGAATATTATAAAAGAACTTATTATAATATATAAATTGGATTATATAAAGAATAATTAGCAATTATTCAAAAGTTTCTATAGAAAGACTTTTTTTTTTTATTCTTATTTACTTTTTATTTAAGTTACTTTATATTAGTTCTAAGTATTATATAACGTTTAGAATACTTTATATATTTAAATTTACTATTTAATATATAATTTAATTATCATTTTTCATTTATATAAATATATATAATTTAAAGAAAGTATTTAATATATACTCTACTTTACTTAATTATTATATTATCTTTATTTATAAGGAAACTTAGTTAATTAAACCCCAAAAGAGTATCTTATTTATTTTATAGTCTAATTAACTATTATACTACTTATATTTATATAGAAAAAAGTTAAGTAATTTAATTAATATACTTTTAATAAAAATTAATTTTTAATATATTAAGAAGAGATAAAATGAATATTTTATTATATTTTTCAATTATAGTTAATTTAATATAATTTTAAATATATTATAAATATATTATAAATATATTTGTAAATAGTAAGCGAATATAAATATTAAAAATAAGAAAATTTAAATTCAATTTTATATATAATATTTTATTACTAATATATAACTTTACTCCTTACTTAGATTTTTTTATAAATAAATTTAAAAAAACTTCTTAGAAAATATTATTTTATATAGTTTTAAAGTTTTAAATAATTTATAATTTATAGAATATAATATTAATAATAATTATAAGAAAGTAAAATAATAAAGTAAAATTAAATTAATATATAATATATTTTTAATATTATCACGGGCAAAGGGTAGGTGGTAGATGTGATTATGCGTAATTGCACGAAGGAGAAAGGAAGAGAAGTGCAGCCGAGTACCCAGAAGGCTAGCCTTATAAAGGTAACCGCCGGCGGGTCTGACAGACCCGCGGCAGGCAGCGTTCTAACCAATCAACTACCGGCAATAGTCGGCTTGCCGGCGGTGATGACAGCGTACGGTAGTCTTAGAAGCTGTTATACGTTAGTACTAGGTATAAAGTATATAGACTAACCTTATAATACTTCCCTAGACTAAAAGAAGCTATATAGTTGATTAATATTATATAAAATAATAGAAATCCCTATTAAACGAACGGTCCGCTCTTGAAAAATCCTTATTACCGCTAGTAGTTATCGTTATAACCTCCGCCGCGGAGTTGGAACCTCCTACTCTACCTCCTTCTCCTTCTCCTTCCGCTTTTTCTTTACTACTACTTAGGCTAGTAGGTATAGTACTTCCGGGTATCCATCGTAGAAGGCCCGTACTATATCGGGGGCTATAAATATATTAGTACGCAATTATTATAATAGTATATACGGGGGTACTTAGACTATAAAATATTTTTAATAACCTTTATTATTCTTTTAATATCTATCTATCCTCTTGAATTTATATTTAATAGAATCCTCCTTATTGTTAATCCTCCTTATAGTCCGGCTATAGTTAGTACGAACGTTCTATTCTTTTAAATTTATTTATCCTAGGAGACCCTCTTTATCCTATAGTTTAATTTTATTAATATAGAACGTCGGATTATATTTTATATTAATTAGAAATTTAAGTATTACCCGATGGTTATTTATTTTAAGGATTTTAAAAGGGCCCTCGAAGAGAGGTGTAAATTTAGTGTAGGGGCAATTAATATTAAGGTTCTTAGTATTAAGAAGGACCTTATCTCCTGCCTTATATTTTAGGGCGTCCGACCGTTGAATGTTCGTATTGCCTTTGTAATGTTGTTGTATTTAATAGGCCTAATTAATAATGAAGTTTAAAATTTTTTTA